GCAGGAAGCATTACTAAGCGTGCGTCCTTATATTCAATTTTTATTAATAGCCGCATTGGTTCATTAACTAACCATTCTATGTAAGCACCTGTGCTACTTTCAAGCAGGTGATAAGCAATCAGATTTTCTTTTTCCATCTTTCATCTTTTCGTTCTTACTATGGTGCTAGGCACGAAATAAGTCGTACCGGATTACCCGGCGATTCACGAATCAATGCCCCAGCTGGGTACCCCGAAAACACACGCCCCGCTTGTACCTAAGGCACAAGCAGGATCAACCCATCACCCTCCTATCCTGGGTGTCCAGGTCCCCGTCTAAACTGGGACTCCAAGTCTCCGCCCCTGAGTCCCGGACTCAGTGCGGTGCAAGGACCTCCTAACCCAAAAACCACCCTGAAAGTCGATCCGGAAAGAGCCGGATCCACGACAAGAGAGCAACAAGTCTTTCAAGCGCCCATACCCAAGTATGTGCTCGGGATAATAAGTCTGTGACTTGCCTCGATGGCTTATGCAACGATCGGTCCTTAACCGACACAGACAGGGAAAGCAGTGTAACCAAGCTATGCCCCGCGTCCACGGTGACGTAACCTCTTACACCCACCAATACCCAACCATATCACTGTTCGGTCACCATTTTTCCTTTTTACCATTTATATTTTTCAAGTGATAATAATATAGTAATATATTTTTCTATCTCTCGTGAGTGACAGGCAATCACTCGACTTCTACCGGAGTCCTATAGCATAGCAATCTATACGATCCTATCATACTAGTGGGACTCATAGGATAAAGATATATATATATATATATATATGCAAGTCGGTTTCATTCAACTCCTTAAAACTTAAAGCACAAACATAATTTAAAGCTGTAGAAAAGTAGGAGTTATGCACCGTGGCTTTTTTGGGTAAAAGTATAACCAAAAGTTAGTATTTGTATTTTCAGATCATCCACATCATTTGAATAGAAAGCCCATCGCATCATCTTCTAGAGAGAATACCATCACACCATCTGTAGATTCCCACTCATCCTTCACTTGATCCGTTGATCCATCATTGTACCTATATGACATGCAATACAATGCAATGCAAAAACGTAATTAATCAACTGCAACCGTGACTCGTAAAATACGATTTACGCCTCTCCAGTTAACGAGCTAGTTCTAACGACGATCGTATTTAGGCTACATATCCATGTTATTAAATCAGGCGTTATTTCCCAACAATTATTTTAGTTATATAAATCCAAGTGATTTCTTTATTCCGTTCTATCGATTTAATCTTTATTCGAAACAAAGCATCATTATCTATCTAGCAAACTAATTATTCTGGAGCTACAAAAATTACAGTGAGCAGCTAATAACATCAGTACTGTAGTGTAAAATTCTCAGAGTCAACACTATCACCGGTTTATCACGAAAATTCCTACAAGTTCACATTTTAACAATATTAAATATTTTAAAATAATTAGAGCAACCCTGAAAACATTTTAAAACTAGATAAACTAAATACGCTAATAGATAGATCATGATTTTAGGAACTTAATAAAATTTGTTTCATCATTTTTGGATCTCTGTACTATTTTATATTAATTTTACAAGTTAAACTAGAAACCTATTTTAGAAAAGCATTTCGGAAATCGAAAGGGTCGGCGGGCACTAAACTGGCCCAGCAGCCCCACGGCCCACGCGGAAGCAACCGCGCGTGCAGCGGCTGGCCCAGTATCGGCCCACAGCGGGAGCGCGACCTCAGTGCGGCCCAGGCGCAGGCAGACGGCGCGGCGAACCAGGCCGACCCAGCACGCGGGAGCGAGTGGCACGGACGCGGCGGCAACAGGGCGGCCCAATGCACAGTAAAGGACGCGACAAACTAGGCCGACCCAGCGGCACGCAGCCAACCCAACTGGGCAAGCCCAGTGTGCGCCGACGATTTTGCAAAAATGTCCCCAAGTTTGTATCTATTTAGAATACTACCGTTTCTACTATTCATTTGAGTCACGTACTTTGCAATAAGAATCCTGTATTAGTGTCTATTCACAGTTTTCACCTTTTCTTCCTTCCTAAATGCAGAGCACAGAGCAGAGAAGCAGAGCACCGCCCAAAACGGCGGCGGTGCTATCGCGGGGGCAACAGCACCGGAGACGGAGCGGTGTGCTCACGCGCGTGGTGGAAATGGCCACGACCGGAGCTGTGGACGAGAGGCGCGCAGACCGGGCGGAGCTCCGCGGCAGCCTCAGCAACAGGTGTGGAGAGCAGCGCACTAGAGGTGCGCCTGGCGGCAGCGGGGGCCACACGCGGCCGGCGGAGGAGGAAGAGGAGGGGCGTCGGTGCTAACAACGGCAGGCCACGCGCACGGCGTGCAGAGACCACGACCGTGGAGGCGGAGAAGGCGTGCAGGAGGCAGCGCCGTGGAGCAGCATGTGCCGCGCGGGATCGCGGGGCTCGCGCGCGCGAGGGAGGGCCGGACTGGCGTGAAACCATAGGCACGCGCGCGCATGCGGGGAGCCGGGCAATGGCACAGCAGGCGCGAAAGGGAGGCGGTCGTGGTGCTCGACGCGACGGAGGCCGTGTGCGCGCGGGAGGAGTGCGTGGCCGGGTGGGGACGCGGCTCGGCCGGGCGTTTTGCAGTGGCGAGAAGTGGGGAAGGGAGGGGCCGGCGTGGCTGACACCGGGGTGCAGGGCGTGGACGCAAGGGTACCAAGCGGACATCGATGCAGGACGCAGTCAGAGGCAAGGAAGAATAGCCTATGCAGCTGCGATGGCTTGGCTGCTGGTGCTCTAAAAGATGGGCCGCGTAGGACGTGTCGGTTGGCACGGACAAGACCGCGGCAGCAGAAAAATAGAGGGAGGGGAGCAGCGTGCCAGACACAGCCGGAAAAACTGACCGGCCACGGAGGGCGCTGTGGTCTGCTGCGGGCGCGGAAGAGGAAGCGACGGAGGCAATCAGTGAGGAAGAGAAAGCAAGGAGCGACTCGGTAGCAGTCATCCAATAGGGCATTCCTGACCGCGAGAAAGCATGCACACGTGGCCTACTACGCTCGCCCAGTGGATCAGCAGTGCCAAGCAGAGATGAGACCTCAGAGGAAGGCAGATATGTTGATGGTGAACGCACGCCGGGAGGAGAGGAAATGAGATAGGTCCAGGCGTACCAAGCAGGGAGAGAGAGAGAGGATGCAAGCAAAGCAGTACACGACAGCAGTAGTCTAGCCCACTTTCTTAAGGCGTTCTTTGAGAAAGGACGCGAGGGAGAGGGAGCAGCGGCACGACGACGGGACTCGACGACGCGGCGCGAATGTGAACAGCGATACGTCGTCGGCACTCCAAAAGATTTAAATCCTATCGACCACCATCCCTAAACATTTCACGCGATAGCTCCTACTCCATACCCAGCCATAGAACAAAATATTAGGTGTTATGTAATTATTTTGTGCAAAACAATTCGCCACAAATAGCGATTTAAAATATAATTTCTGATTTTTACCGTTTACGCGAAAAGCTAGTTTTTAAAATTTTAAAATCCGAGAACATCGTTTCGAAAAAAAAAATTAGGCCTAATTCGCGGTGCTAAATAAGCTCGTAACACCAGGGATGTTACAACAACCAACCCCATTTTTTTACTTCGTGATAGTGCTAATTTTATTCAGTTGAAAAATTATCAATATTGCCTGATGATTTGATTCAGTTGGAAAATATATCTTGGAATAGTCACTGATAAGTGAATGTGTACAATCATTGATACCCGAATTTTTTGTAGCTACTGAATGTTTCAGTTTACTATAATTGATAACTGAACGTTATCACTTAGTCCAACTCTGAATGTTTTCACTTACAATCAATAACACTATGCTAGTTCTAAATTTTTCTAGCTACAGAATGTTTTCGAAGATCATTATTTTCAGTTACCGTTTACTGATCATTATCAGTGTACCTATTATTTGCGCACACAAATTGGAGATGTTCACACTATTATTTTCAGTTAGTGATCAGGTTTGACAACTTCTGAAAAATGTGTGAGACGGAGCCTCTAGATGGCTGATCAGGCGTTCCCTTTTGTGGTGTTTCAGTGCTTGACTTGGTTGGACTTTTAGGACCTATTTTCAGAACTTAAGTTTATGGAGAAGGCAACCCATGTGCAATCCATTATGTACCGTGGAAGTTCTGCTTGGCCTGGTCGTGTTTGATGTGCGCGTTCTTGCAAAATGTCATGTATATTCGTTCATGTCTAGTATTCGTGCATAGTGTTCATGACCTGATGGCCAAAGCCTCCCAGGTTCAGTTCCCTGCTGACAATCTTTCGCCTAAACCTGTATGGAACCTGCCGTTTTTGGAACGTATGAAACTTATATGGTTTATCTTGTGACCTATCTTTTTGGTTTGCTTGTGAGCTGTGACATGTATGTGAACATATCTCCTTGTGTGAAGCTGTCAAAAGTCTAAATGTCTCTTGTGTTTTACATCAATTAGCAACACAATAATATATAGAAATAATATTCATGATTGATCATATGTCTACATACAAGCATTAAATGATCTGTAGATAGTCAATCAGACAATAGCTGTCTGTGGGTTGTACGAGCTGTCTGTATAGCCATCTATGTTGTAAATTTTAAGAACTTACAGACAACAGCTGCCTCTCTGTTGTGCATGCCCTTAGAGATCTTTATAGATATGATACCTCTTTCTTCTTACTGTATATGCCCACAACCAAATTCATAAGAGTAACTTTGGCCGTGAACCAAATAGTAACTGATTTTTGTAGGTTTGTTTTTGATCTTTGGTTTTGGTGGCAAAATAGGATCACGTTTTCAATCCAACCAGGTCATTGGGCCAAATCAGTCTCGTTTTTGCTTTCTAACATGGTCCATCCTACAAGCCCATCAGCCCGAGCCATGATCAGCCCATTCTGTACTCGCTAAACCCTAAACCCTTTTGCCCCTACGACTCCGTGGCAACCTGAAAGCTACCCGCCCCGCCTTCCCCAACCCCCATCCCGCCCCGCCGCCATGTCGTCCACGCCGCCGGCCGTTGCATCCCCCGCCTCCGAGCAAACCAAATCCAAGAAGAAGAAGCACAAGTCTAAGGACATCCCCGCCACCGATCCGCCATCGCTCGCCGAGGCCGAGGAGAAGACTGATGGCTACCTAATCAAGCCCCAGTCCCTGGTGCCGTCCCTCGACACCTCCACCTGGCCGCTCCTCCTCAAGAAGTACGACCGCCTCAACGTCCGCACTGGCCACTACACCCCGCTCCCCTCCGGCCACTCGCCGCTCAAGCGCCCCCTCGCCGAGCACCTCCGCTACGGCGTCATCAACCTCGACAAGCCGTCGAACCCGTCCTCCCACGAGGTGGTCGCCTGGATCAAGCGCCTCCTCCGCGTCGAGAAGACCGGCCACAGCGGCACGCTCGACCCCAAGGTCACCGGCAACCTCATCGTCTGCGTCGACCGCGCCACGCGCCTCGTCAAGTCGCAGCAGGGCGCCGGCAAGGAATACGTCTGCGTCGCCCGCTTCCACGCCGCCGTGCCGGACACCGCGCGCGTGGCCCGTGCGCTAGAGGCGCTCACGGGCGCCGTGTTCCAGCGCCCGCCGCTCATCTCCGCGGTCAAGCGCCAGCTCAGGGTGCGGACCATCTACGAGAGCAAGCTCCTGGAGCACGACCCCGAGCGCCACCTCGCGGTGTTCTGGATCTCCTGCGAGGCAGGTACCTATGTCCGGACTCTGTGTGTGCACCTTGGGCTGCTTCTTGGTGTCGGCGCGCATATGCAGGAGCTGCGCCGTGTCCGGTCGGGGATCCTCGGGGAGCAGGACAACATGGTGACCATGCACGACGTGATGGACGCCATCTGGTCGCTTGACAACTACAAGGACGAGTCCTACTTGAGGCGCGTCGTCATGCCGCTGGAGGTACTGCTTACTAGCTACAAGAGGCTTGTCGTGAAGGATTCTGCCGTGAATGCTATCTGCTATGGCGCTAAGCTTATGATCCCCGGCCTGCTCCGGTTTGAGAATGATATTGAGACCGGGGAGGAGGTTGTTCTGATGACTACAAAGGGGGAGGCGATTGCCATAGGTATTGCCGAGATGACCACTGCTGTTATGGCAACCTGTGACCATGGCGCGGTCGCAAAGATCAAGAGGGTTGTGATGGACAGAGACACATACCCGAGGAAGTGGGGGCTTGGTCCAGTGGCACTCAAGAAGAAGAAGATGATCGCTGAGGGCCTCCTTGATAAGCATGGGAAGACAAATGAGAAGACCCCAGCTGAGTGGCTTCGCAATGTGGTGCTTCCCCCTGGTGGCGATGTATCGATTGCTAGCATTGCAGCTGCTCCCGAGCCAGAGAAGGTGAAGGCGGAACAGGACGCAGTTGTCGGTGAAGAGGTCAAAGAGAAAAAGAAGAAGAGGCAAAAGGATGAGAATGATGACGACGATGCTTCCGTTCCGGCGAAGAAGATCAAGGCTGAGGAAGCTGCCGAGGCAGTGGAAGGGGAGAAGAGCGAGAAAAAGAAGAAGAAAAAGAAAGATAAGGGCGAATCAGGATCAGCTGACGTGGTGGAAGTGAAGGAGGCGGAGAAGGCTGATGAGAAGGGCAGCGAAAAGAAAAAGAAGAAGAAGAAGAAGAGCAAGGAAGGAAGCGCAGCTGCGGATCCAGGGAGCGCTGAGCACGAAGATGGTGCAGGAGCTGAGAAGAGTGAGAAGAAAAAAGAGAAAAAAAAGAAGAAGAGTCGAGAGACACAGAGGAGGCAGAGTAATTAGAACTATAGTTTGCGATGGATGGTTGTCTAATCTGTTTGAGTTGTAGGGGGGAGGTGGTGGTATGTTCAATTTTTTGTTGGAACTCTTGAATGTGGTTTCCGTTAGTATGAAACAATGCAACGAATTTTGGCCTCTTCCAGGCATTGGATCCACTGGGTTGGTAACTTTTGAGCTTTGAGAATATGTGGTAAGTCTGATGTGTTGAAGAGCTCGAGTAACACTTGCTTAAGCAGCACCTCATGCTATATTGTTGGGTTTAAAGATGTGCACCTGCTAAAGCGCTAGGAGTTAGCTTCTGATGTGCTGTTATGCCTTTGAATGACTTGAGATTCTGAATCTCTATGCTCTGTTGGCTTTACATGCTTCTATTCACTGGGGTTGATGTAGATATCTAATAAACCATAGACTAGGGAGATACTCTCTGTTCATGGGGAGATGCTATGGAGCTGTTCGGCTAATGGTTTTTGCAGCTGATAAGCCGGCTGATGCTGTTTTGTTGTGAAAGAAAAATACAGGTGCAGATAATTGGTGTGTCCATCTTCACCCCTGTGCCCAAAGCAGAAACCATTGGATAGGTAGTCATGCTGTAAACTTGTGGTGCAACTGTAATACGGTACCCGTCACCTGAATTCCAGGTGTTACTGGGAAACAGTTTGATTTCCTGTTCCTCGCGGCACGGTGTAACATTAGAGGTTTGCGGTGCTGGACCTTGCTGTGGCTTCTTTAGCTGCTTTCCATCTCTACTGAAGTCAGCAATCAATCATGAGAGTTGTCTACCATCAAGCCCTTGCAAGTGTAAACCAACTGTATATACATAGCTGCTGATAGGTTTTTATTAGTGGAGACCTTGAGATCCCGTGTGACTTTTCTTTTTTGAAACGGAAATGCATTCCATTACTCATTCTCTGCCCGATCAGCAGCAACAATTGACTAAATACAAACTGGGAGAGGATCCACAACTGGATTACCCCCCTTCCCACACTCACACCCCAAAGGCCAAAGTTGCTAAAGCATGAGCTACCTTATTACAAGTTCTAGGAACTGCGGACATTTTGAAAGAACTAAAGTTCAGTCGAGCGCTCTTGAATTTCCTTGATCAAAATTCCGGCAGGCGATAAGTTCTAGTCCCTTGATTCCAAGGCAAGCTTCACAAGGATTGCATCAGTCTCAACCTCCTTGTAGCGCCCACGTCAACCGCGGGTTGAAGACCCTGTAAACACGCGATCACTTGTGCATGAAATGATGTATCCCCAACCTCCATCACCCAAATCCTTGCGAAATGAGGCATTGCAATTAATCTTCAGAAAATCCACTGCCGGTTTCCTCCACACCTGCTGTGTCTGCAGTCCTGATGCTGTTCTTGGTTGAAAACGACTGCATGATCTCGCCTATATATAGCCTTCAACTGAATTCACAAGGAGCGGAATTGGCCGACGCTTTCCTTCTTCTCTGATGCTATTTCTTTCAGCCCACCAAGACCACATCCCAATTCCCAATCACAAGCTTCAGTTGGATATCCCTTTTTCAAAGTCAGGATGTACCTGATTGCCTCCATGCGGATGTGAGAGCAGCCAGCCGGTTGCAGCGGTGTTCATCCATGCGGATGTGAGATCCAGTGTGAATTGATATGATGCCAGTGCGCGTGCAACGGTGGTGTTTTCGTTTCCTGAACCTGGATGCTCGTTTCGTTTGGGCGTGCCGGGCCCGAACGCCGCTGCCGACACTGGCGAATTGGCGATCCGACCCGCTCACCCGACCCCCGTTCGAGTCCGTGGCGGAGGGCCGGAGGCTGTTTGATGGGGGCGGTTGCTTTCGGTTTCGGCCCTTCCGCGGCCCTCGGGGAACCAGGTGGTCGCACAAGAAAACGAAATTCACGGATGTGTTCAATGCTCATGGCGCGCTCTCTTCCCCAAGACTTACCATGGTAGTGCCCGTTTTCGCCGGGCTCTCTTGCTCTCCGTCGCTCGCTTGCCCGGTCAGATACGACGTGTCATTTTCCCCTAATAATTACACTGGTGTGGTACTAACAGAAACAAAGTTGAGACGTCCGAGTAGTGATGAATTCACGGTAAGTTCGACTGCATTCCCCACCCCCACGGCCCCACCCCACGCAATTTCTTCTTTTTTTTTTTCGTGATGGGCATAGACTTATTTCCACTATAAATAAACAAGAATTAAAACCCCATCGCTTTGCTACCTCGTCCTTGTACCCTGATTCGTACACTGCCGTTGCAGGTACACATCACATGACGCTAGTAGGTGCCACGCAGGTCAGCTGGCATTTTGTGACCTGTCACCTGCCAGCACCCCCGAATCCCGATTGCCCAATATTCAAAAGCTAGCGAACACACACAGGTGGAGGTGGTAAACGATACGGATCGCAAATCGAGGATCGATATATCAACAAAAGAAGAAAAACAACAGACTCGCTCGACATCGACAGGGACTAGCCAGCGTACCGGGTACGGGATTTGGCCATTTGGGAACGCGACAAGCGGGTCCTGGTTTCCGTCGCCACTCCCTTTCCGCGATCCGTTCTTCCACCGTCCGTTCCGTTCCGTTTGAAACGTGCAGCTAGCTACCCGTGCAGAGCAGCAGAGGCTTATCACCTCACCAAACAAAACAATGGCTGCTGGTGCATCAATTCCCATCTCCCAACCCAAACAAACAAGTTCAATCGAAGGTAAAAGAAGACCAACTGGTTAAACAAACAACTAGGAATTAATAATCCATCAATCGAAGTAGTACATGGAGGAGAATGTGCAGAGGAACTGGACGACGCAGCGGAGGAGGCACATCCCCGCACCCAAGACACATGTACAACACGCCCAAAGCGGTGAATCGCGCCATGCGTCCAGATTCTTCTTCAGCCGAACAAACTAATTAAGAAAGGGACGATTGGATACACCAGCAGCAGCAACTAACAAAGAAAAGGAAGGAAGGAAGAAATCACATCTCAAATCGACACCATATTTCACAGCGGACGCCACGGAGTCACGCGCACCACGTCCCCCATCATCAGATCACCTGCTGCAAATAAACCAAAATGATCGGTCAGTTAAGTTAACCCTGATCGAGCAGTATAGCAAGCTGCTGAAGAAGGTGAGGAGGATCAGATGGAGTATATATATACTACCTTGAAGAGGCGAGCTGCCTGGCAGGGGACCTGTGGCTTCCTGTGCTCCGGGCTGGCTACTTGGTGATGGCCCACACGGCGTAGATGATGCCGGGGAGGTAGCCGAAGAAGGTGAGGATGAGGCAGATCCAGAACTCAACCTGCAGCCGTACCAACAGTAGAAATCTATCGATCAGACACCACGCAACGCGCGCTAGAACGACAGTGCCATGCACGCACGAACGAAAACGCTGGCTCTGCAAGCAAGCAGTGAGAAACCACCAGATCGAAGCGCGGCCGAACTAGATATTATTACGTACCCCGCAGCCGAACTTGAAGAAGACCCCGAGCGGCGGGAGGATGATGGCGAGGATGATGTCGATGCAGGTCGCCGTGCCGTCCGACATCTTGCTAGCTGCTTGCGCGTGCGGCTACCTTGTATCCGCTCTTCGTGGCGAGCACTGCAGGCTAGGAACGACAGCGAGCGCGACCGAAAATATCAGAGAGCGCAAGGCAGGCTGGCAGAGGCGGGTGGGGTGCGTGGTGGTGAATGCGATGAGCTGAGAGCCTGATGGAGCTCGCTCCGCCGCTGGGGCTGGGCTTATAAAGGCGGAGGAGAGCGGGCGGGGGTCCGGGGTGGGCACGTGGCCCGCGCCTGCCAAGATGCCAAGACCCAAGAGCGCGTGCGTGGGGAGGGCGTCGGCGTTGGCGTCGGCATCGGATCCCAAGGTTCCCCGGCCGCGTGCGCCGAGCTGTGCGGCTCCGACGGCCTGCCAGCTCATGCACGCGGATCCAGCGGACGGCGGGACGCGGAGTTTTTTCCTAGTAGTTTGCGTCCCGGCCAGGCTTTCATCATATCCCACTTTTTTTTTTTGTTGTTGTTTCTGATTTCTTGCTGGTTTTGTGATGCTTAACGACCAAGGCCACGATCGATCCAGTTCGTCACACAACATGCTTTTTGCCGTTGCCGTTTCGTAGTGAAAACCAGCCAGGCGGAAACGCCTTTCTGAAGAACTCTGAACTCGCTATGATCTACCCTGTGGCTGTAGCTAGCGTCACCATTCGTCTTTTACATTAGGCACAAAACGGAATGAAGATTCCAGTGCTACGTGGAAGAAGATCCGTGGAAGCAGATGTCGCTTTCACGGTCTCCAGAATGGCCCGCGACGCGTCGATCCATCATGCAACGGACTTGCTTGGTTCAACTCTCGCAGATCAGCTGACATCTCTCCTACCATCCTCTCTGTCCACTCCAATCCTCTTCCTCTCCTAGCGATCGAATCGTGGTATTCATTCATGACAAGTAAGCAACATGCTTTCGCTTCTACCAGTCATGTTCCTGCTCTTATTCCATCCATCGATCCCTTTGCTCGGAGACTTTCAGCATGTTCTTGTGGATGGATCGGATCTACACTCTGGAGGATGCTTCGATGGCCAGGACCAGAGATAGAGAAGGTACAATGCACACCTGGAAAAGTGGAAATGTACTTTCTACTTTAGTTTGTTCTCAAGTCAAGCTTTTCCATGTTGTCGACCTCAAAAATAAGAAAGCTGTTATATACGGTCAGTATACCTTTAAACATGCTTGATGTATCTCGTGAGTTACTCCGACTTGGGCTGTAAATTGTCCAGAAGCAGACAAGAGCCGGCAACAGCTAACCAAGAAAACCCAGTTGATTGATTGTTTCAGAACAGGCACAGATAAAGTTACAAAAAGAGGACCACGCACCAAAATGGGGGAAAGAAAGGTAAAACTACTAACCACTACCACGTAACTATATATGTCATGCTAATCCGCTCGTCCAGTCAGCTATTTATGTGAGACAGTGAAGGATCACATCAACATATAATATGAAGTTACTAATGCGACATAATATGAAGTTACTAGTAAGATATAATAATGCATAATCTTGGCAGACAATTCAACGGGCGGGGTGCCCTGTGGACATGTCGGCACCCACCGGCCACCACCACCAGCTACACGCCGTTTCCCATACTAACGCCCATGAATGATGATGAATGGACCGGATCAGGACCCTCTAATAGGCCGCTATCAAACACCACCACTGTGCTGCAGTGGCAGGCAGTGCCAAAACGAATCATCAGACCAAGCAAACATCCAAAGCTCGTCTCTTGCAGGCCACGGCAAGCTACACGTCTCCTTTTGGGCGATGATATCGGCTGATGGCGAAGCGAGCCATGGTTGGTCGGTGAATTCACTCCAGCGTCGGTGGGGGCCGGTGGGTGCAGCATGAGGAAGGGGCGTGGGTCGGTACCCCATTCCCAGGGACGTCCTTATCTGCCCACATGGAGAGTAGTGCCGTTTAAGCTCCAGTGCCCAAAGACTTGCATGGATTGGAGTAAGCATTCACCAATTCTCTGTTCTGGCAGCTCATGACAGGTGGGTTACCGCCTTCTAAAGCTTGTGGTTTCTAAAGCTTAAAGAATACTAATCCTGTTACTTAGGTTTTTGTGAAGGGTTGGATAGGTAGTAGAATAGCATGTGGAGTTATCCGGAGCAAAACTTTGCATGTACAGCTTTCCATTGCTTACTACTGCAGCCAGAGAGAATAGCACGTGAAGTTATCCACGGCTACAGGCTACCTGCAGTACCAGTGTACCACTGGACGGTTACCAATATGCTCATTAAGGCCTTATTTAAATCCAGGTGTAAAGTTTGAAGGTGTCACATCAGATGTTACGTGGAGGTGTCGCATAGGGTGTTTGAATACTAATAAAAAAATAAATTACAGAATCCGTCAGTAATCCGCGAGACGAATTTATTAAGCCTAACGAATCCATCATTAGCACACGTGTTACTGTAGCACGACGTTGTCAAATCATGGACTAATTAGTCTTAAAAGATTCGTCTCGCAAATTAGTCACAAACTGTGCAATTAGTTATTTTTTAGTCTATATTTAATACTCTATGCATGTGTCAAACATTTGATGGGATAGGGAGTAAATTTTAGGGGAGAAACTAAATAAGGCCTAAGTTTATCTATTGCTGTGCGCAAGTGTGTCGGGATTTATTTGGATCATGTATAGAGCTGATTGTTAATGAACTTAGGATTCTGTGGGCGAGGACAGTTACCGTTGCAGGATGGCAGATGGTCCAAACCCCAAACTACATCGCACCGGCCATTGGAACTTCTTTTCTTTTTTGATTGCCGGCCATTGGAACCTTGATAAGAAGTTGGAGAACATATGTGACCTGGATCCGATAAGGATGACCGTTCCCTGTTGTCTTGAAGCTGTCAATCTACACAGCAAGGAAGTCAACAAACCAAGGGTAAGAAACTAAAAGATGTCCAAGGGCATAGTAGAATAAAAGTTACACAGAATCTTCTTATACTTGTTCGGCTTGGTGAGAAGAAAAAACAAATCGGTCCAACAGGAGCTTCAAAACTATAGTCGGATCCGATCGCTAAGGGGCAAGATCACCTCCACTGTCCAAGTCGAGGAGTTTGTCTCCCTTTGGATAAGGCTCCAAAACATCCAGTTGACACGGGGCGTTCGTGACTCCATAGTCTGGAGGTGGACAGCCGATGCTTCTTACTCCACCCGTTCAGCGTATAGGATCCAGTTCAGAGGTTCCTATGGCGAATTCTGAAATGACCTCATTTGAAAAACACATGCTGAGAATAAAGGAAAAGTGTTTGTTTAGATCCTGGTGCGGGAAAAAGTCTTAACGACGGATAATCTTCAGAAGAGAGGCTGACCTCATCAGGACCAATGTGCCCTATGTAACAGTCCTTTGGAAACATGCCTTCACTTATCACTCCTTTGCTCTTTCACCAAGGTTGTGTGGAGCCAAGTTCTTTCATGGGAGCATTTCGATGTACAGTTGATCCACCCCACAAGAAGGCGCTTCAACGGGATGGCCATTTACACACTATGGAACATATGGAAGGAAAGGAACATGAGAATTTTTAACAACGCCCATGAGTCGGCATTGCAAGTGGCATTAAGGGTAAAAGAGGATATCGAGCAAAGAAAGAGGGTTTTATCTTAGGGAGGGGGCAATATCACGGGAGGCATCATGTAATCCTAATGGGGGCATCGCCCCTCTTGCTCTGTACATCAACCTCTTTACCCTTCTTAGTTGAAAGACAGAGCTCCTGTCATTACGTTAAAAAAAAAGATCTTACACACCAGAATAGTACTATACTACCATTGATCATCAAGTGATGACGTTTTTCACTTCTCAGAGCTCTGGACCGAAATGTATGGACGGAGTATGTAAAACACATTTTATTAAAAAAAAATGGTACGTAAAAATCATAAAGAAGCAATGAAAGCATTGGGATTTGGGACTGAAAAATCATCTCTCTCTCTCTCTCTCTCTCTCGCGCGCGCGCGCGCGCGCAAGAAAGCAGCTTCCTACCCGATTGATTCTGGGAAGCCAGAATTGAACGAGGCCGTAATAATATAGGCCGTGTTGTTGAACTCAATCCTCTGCACAAACTTCGGATAGCAGCAATGCTCACTAGGACAAGCAGGGAATCCACTATCTGATGAAGACATGTGGTGAGCCCACCCCTGTGTATTGGCCCAGCACCCTCATTGATTACTGCCCTTTTGCATTGCATTATGATGCATCATCAGTGAAATCCGGGTGCTTTACTGATTCTACTTGTGGTGCTGTTTCTGCTTTTGGCATCCATTGATGGGGACACCATCGTTGTATATATGATAGCAACAGGTGAGCTAATTCATGAGTAAGCAAAAGCCTTGTCATGCTGAAACCCAGTCTGGAGAAACACTGCACTGATATGTGTGGTCTAACTACCTGCCTAGGAGAATAAGTCCAAGACTCATGGTAAATAATATTTTCCACATCACTGAGAATTTTCAAACAGAACACAAATTGAAAAGTCCAAACATCTTCCAAACCGTAGAAGGATCTGAGGATTGATGTGCACCCAGTTACTTCCATTTCTTCAGAATTGCAGCTAGCACAAAAGGACTTCAGAAAAGTGTATACTGACTACCTACAAAAAAAAAAAAGTTGCAAAACTAAGAGGTGGGTCGTAGCTGAAATCATCAAAATTATCTTAGTGCATAAGTATCAATTTCCCTTGATGAATGTTTCATAAATCATGAAACAAATGCAAAATAGATTCTTGATTATTAATAAGGAAAATCAGAATCAGAATAAAATATTAAACTGCACATAGGGCAATGAGGAGTAAGCAATGCAGAAAATGGAGTTCTTATTCTTAGATGAAAAAGGAGTTAAGTGTTCCCAGGAAAAGTGAATAAATTCATCATCAAGATTCAAGATTTATATGAAGCCCGATGATAGTCAAACAGAAGAAAATGTGAGCTATACAGTCTGGATCTTGTGACCCCAAACAACCCTCTTTAGCTAATTATACTAGCAAACAAATGCAAGAGAATGCAGATTGCAGGCATGGTATAGAAAAGGAGCAGATTTGTTAAACTGCTTAACATGTAACACCAAGAACAAGCATAATAAACAGTAAAATTAACTCTGTAATCCTGTCAACTCACGTATGCCGGTAAATATGGAATTTATTCCTATAGAAAAAAAAAATCTGATCAGTGTTTTGATGCAGTAGCTGTCTCTCTTCCCGTCTTGCGTCCTGTATCCCAGGTTTATCAGTAATTCGCAAGTAGCTAGAGAAGCTAGTCACTATCCTTTCACATCAGCAGTTTCACACTCCCATCTTGCCTTATGTATCCAGGACATGGTACGAAGTGACCATTACGAGATTTTGGCGAGTTATGTATCTTCCCATTAAATACGGCAGTCAGAAAGTTTTGGATTTCATATCTAGTTATTTGTTCCATACAACCACAGGCAAATGATGTTTTTCTATTGTGCAAAAAAATGCATACGAATATGTACAGGGAGTCAAGGAACCACAAGCCATGAGCTTAAATCAAGCTATTTCCTGTTTTCTTCTTCAAGCTCCTCTCTTCTATCATAGTTCTTATCCTAGTCACCTCAGACCACATTCCAGCACTGGCATAGATGTTAGATAACAGAATGTGATAGCCAGGATCATTGGGGTTTTGCTCAAATATTCTTTTTGCAACGAGCTCAGCAATGTCCATTCTATTGTGCTCTCTGTATGCTGACAATAGACACCCAAGAACATCGATTTCTGGCACTTCTTGTAAATTTGCAATAAAATTCCAAGCATCATCAAGCCTCCCAGATCTGCTGTAAAGGTCAACAATGCACGAATAGTGCTCCTTATCTGGAGAAATATTATAGTCCCGCAACATGGAATCATAGAAGCACAAGCCCTTATCAATAAGGCCCTCATGGCTACAACATGATAACAGAGCTACAAAAGTCACTTTATCTGGAGAAACTCCATCTCTCTTCATTAGGTCAAAAAGAATGAATGCTTGCTCTGCATGACCATGCTTTCCCAGAGAAGAAATCAGAGTGTTATATGTAACAGTATTTCGCTCTGTCATCAGCAGAAAAATCTTGATGGCTAGTTCTAGGCAACCACACTTACAGTACATATCTGTAAGTGCATTACTAACTGAGCAACATGAACTTATGTTATGCCTGATGGCGTAAGCATGTAGTTCCTTACCCTGGAGGAGCCTGGAGTGTTGATTGCATAGAGGAAGAACTGAAAGAACAGTCACACGATCAGGTCTAAATCCCTCTTTCAGCAGTGCCCTTAATAGACGTAATGCAGACTCTGAATCCTCATTCACAACATGTCCTCCGATCATTGAATTCAAAACGACCAAATCATTCTTCGGCGTGAACTGAAAAACAATTTCTGCGTCCCTAATGGATCCTTGTCTACCGTAGAAGTCGATGAGTGCACTGACAAGAAACTCACTATGCTCGAGTCCATTTCTTAATGAGAAGCAATGAATTTCTTTTCCATACCTCAATAACCTCAGCTCTGAAAGACTAGGAAGTATGCTTGCTAGGGTAGTAGAATTTGGTTTTACTCCTGAAGCAACCATTTCAGTAAACAAATTGACACTCACATGATATATTCTGTTCTGTGAATGCCCTGCAATTATGGTACTCCAAGAGATAACATCCTTGTGATCGATAGACCAAAACAGGGAAGCAGCCATATCCAGCCTAGCACATTTGCAATACATATCAACCAAAGCATTAGGAACACAGATATCATCACCTACTCCACATTTTACCGCACATCCATGCAATGCCATTCCAGTCCTCAGCTCTTTCACCTTACCACATGCTGGAATAACAGTAGCAAAAATCATCGAATCAGGCCAAAACCCTTCTAACTTCATGCGCTTAAGCAACGTCATCACCTCAAACCAGTCTCCTCCATGCGCAGTTCCTCCTATCATCGCAGTCCACGCAGCCAGATCTCTCACTTCCATGCTCTCAAACACATTCCTTGCTTCACCTAAGCACCCACACTTGGCAAACATGTCCACGAGCGCGCACTGCACAAACACATTGTTCTTTGTAATACCCCGGGCAATGTCCGCCTCCACGTTCTCCTGAACTTTTCTCCCCAGCTCAACCACGCCAAGTGCGGCACATGCTTTCAGAACAGGTGGGTACGTGAAACGATCAGCAACGACCAAGCCGTCACAGACCATGTCCCAGTACCACTGCAGCGCCTCCGAGAACCTGCCAGCGTCGACAAGGCCCTTGATAACAGCGTTCCACGCGAAGGAGTTCCTCGTAAGCATTCCGTCGAACACACGCACCGCGTGCCCGAGCCCACCATCCCGCAGCCTGGCGTACGCGCGCACCAGCTGCGCGGCGAGGACGGTGCTTCTACGGTAGCCACGCACCAGCAGCGCAGCGTGCAATCTCCGTACCTCCGTGAGGGCGGGGCCCGACTGCAGCCGGAGGAGGAGCGAGTCGTGCGAGCCGACGGCCTCGCGAGCGCCGTAGCTGCTGCATCCGCAGCGAGGAGCAGTCGCTGGGGAGGCATGAGGAAGGCACCGAGGCCTCAGTCTGAGCCTCCTCTTCACCGCGGAGGAAATAGTATGCATCCGGCGGCGGCGGCGGCGGCGGCGCGATGCTTCGTTTTCAATCGGCGAGCTGTTTCTTTGAAGCGGGGAAAAACCACCTGCCATGGCCGTTGAAACAGGCCACCTCCTACCCTGTCATGGAACTTTGCCCCTCTCCTGTCTAGGGTCGGCCTGCTTCGCTCCATGGGCTTAGGAGCGGGTCGAACCGCCCTTTGGCAGGCCTCCTACCTACCCGCCGTAGACATCTGATCCACCTTGAGTGGGCCTGTTCGGCTGTGATTTGCAGCGGCTGCAGCCACTTGTTCTACTACGGCTGCACTACTATGTGAGGGGACATGCAGCCGAAGAAGCAGCCGCAGCTGATGTTTAAAATAGTATCGTGGCCCACGCATCAACTGCATAGATCGTACCTATTTAAGGACAGTGTCATTCTTTCAACGGTAAGGATTTGGCACGGCTCGTGAAAAAACAGCTCTGGCTCTGGCTCATATGAAAAAGCAGTTTTTTTTGCTCTGGCTTATTTTGTACGAAAACGTTTGGCAAAACGGCTTCTCCTAGCTTTTTAGAATGTATAGAAGATGTCAATTGTCCAAAATACCCTTATATTTCTTTTTTTTTTTTCTTTTCTTTTTTTTTTCTCTTCATTTTCCTTTTCCTTTTCTTTTCCTTTTTTATTTCTCTTCCTTCTCCCTTCTTTTCTTTTCCCTCCTCTCTCCTTATCCGATCGGCATCTCTTCCTTCTCTCTCTCTCGGCGGCGTCCAGTGCCATCACCGCGCCCCCACCTCCGGTCCTCCCTCTCCGCCTCCACCTTCCCCAGACTTCACCTCCCGTCGGCATGACGCCTTTGCCGATCTTGCTTACCCTTGCCGTGGTCTCCACCGGCAGAAGATCAGTAACACACTGCCGCCCGGTGCTCCACCCGCCCGATCCGCCCCAAGCCCGCCACCGTGGTCTCCGCCGGCGCAGATCAGTAGCGATCACACGCCGCCGCCGGTGCTCCACCCGCCACCGAGTTAGCCCAAGACCCGTGCGCTTTCGGTCCCGAGGACAATGATGGAATTGGACACATTTGGATGGGGGTGAGCCGTGATAAGCCACTATTTTTAGCTTCGTGACGGGAGGAATGCACGCCAAGGCGTTTTGTGGGGCTTCTGACGGCTTCTGGTCGTGAGCCATCTCGAGGAGCCACCGTTTGGCACGGCTTCATCAAAAGCCGCTCGAGAAGCTGCTCGGTGAGCCGTGCCAAAGGGGGGCTAAATAAGCACGGCTTCGGCTTGAAAAGAAATGAAGATGAAAAAATTCAGTAGGGACCGTCCCTACGTGAATGTCTGATGCGTGAGCCAGCCATGCATTTCAGTAAGGATGGTCGTCCCCACACGATTTTTTTTAGGCCACCGCCACCGTCACCACACCACACACACAGCGTGTCCCTGCCAGCTCAACGTAGGCCATGCTGCTTGAACTTACGAACCAGAATCAATCCTATTTTTTAAGTCATAAGAATAGTGTTTTCTTTCGTAACAAATTAGCCATACAAATCAGTCGCAGCAAACAGGGCCGTAATTCGATCGTTTAGGCCAGTAAAACAATGATGAAGTCTTGTCGTATATGATGCCGCACCAAAGTTGCATACGAAAACAATGATGGCATTGTCGTCGTAATCTTACAACTAGATTGTGCTAATTTATTATTCATCAGGGCAAAGGCAAACTAGACAGGTAAGTAGTCTGCGGTCACTAATAAAATATGATAATGTACAGCTCTCTGTAATAATGTACTCTCCAAATTACATAGATCTCGCACTACGCATCATTCAACACTCGTAACGATCATAGGGAGCCCGTACTTGGGGCGCAGCGTGATGACGTCGGTCGGCGCGTGCACGTACTCCGGCGAGAGCGTGAGCGCGAACCGCTGCAGCACCGCGGCGACCACGGCCCTCGCCTCGATCATGGCGAAGTTCTGGCCGATGCAGTTCCTCGGCCCGCTGGAGAAGGCCAGCAGCGCGCTCAGGTTCTTGGGCGCCGCCTTGGTGGTGCCGGCGTCGAACCGCAGCGGGTTGAACTCGCCGGCGTCGTCGCCCCACAGCTCCTTGTCGCGGTGCATCGTCGCGATCGGCAGCGTCAGCAGCGCGTCCGCCGGCACCACCACGCCGCCCAGCTCCACCGGGCACCGGGTCCGCCGCCGGATCAGCGGGACCGGGCTGTACAGCCTCAGCGTCTCCAGGATGAACAGGTTCATCTGCGGACAACATTTGCATTGCATTGCAACTCGAATAAGCATCTATTGATCCATCAATTGACAAGCAAGACGATAAAATATACCAGCTTGAGCTTGCCGAGCATGTCGTGGGTGGGAGCCCGGCGGTCCCTGCCGCCGCCGCACTCCCTCAGCACCTCGGCCCGGAGCTTCTCCTGCCACTCTGGGTGCGTGCTAAGCAGGAACATGACCCAGGTGAGCAGGTGCGAGGTGGTCTCCTGCCCCGCGAAGAAGAAAGTCTTGCACTCGTCGATGATCTCGTCCATGCTCAGGAGCTGGTCGCCGCCGTGCTCCGGCGCGCAGGCCTCCAGCATCAGCCCCAGGAGGTCGTTCCCGTACCCGGCCTTGTCCTTGGCGGCGAGCCGGTTCTCGATGATCCGCGTCAGCGTGCTCCTCACCTCCTTGTCCAGCTTCCACACCCGCATGTTCTTTTTTGTTGGAAGATATCTGTATCAAAAAGCACACAATTTTTCAGCCTGCTGTTCTGTTCTGTTCGTCTCTGAAATCAGATCCTCCTGCGCATATGTTAGTTTGTGCTTCACCTCAATCCAGGGATCTGAACGCTGAAAAGCGTGGAGAAGGTGATGAACTGCAGCTCCTTGAGTGCCTGGAACACCCGTTTCCCTTCCTTGTAGCTGCTCCCGAACGCCGTGTGGGAGATGACGTCGGCGGTGAGCTCCTCGAACTGGTCGCTCAGCTCGATCGTCACGTGCTTCTTCCGCTGACTCGCCAGCTGCGCCTCCCAGCCGGCCACCATCGATAGGGCGCAATCCGCCATCGTCGCTGTCATCATCTGATTTGAAAAGGTTTCACTTTCAGCGCAAAGAATCAAATATAAGAAATTAAAGCCCATGTGATGTGCCTAGGGACTACTACGATAAAACGACAAGCACGTGGAGCTAACTAGCAAAGTTGGATGTCGTCGCCCGCCCCTGGCGCCGGCGGCCGTCCGTCTGCGTGACTGCGTACCTTGAGCTTGTCGGTGTTGAAGGCCGGGTGCACCACCTTCTTGTGGCGGTGCCAGTCGTCGCCGTTGGCCAGCACGAGCCCCTCGCCGAGAAGCCGGAGCAGGTTGGCGTTGGAGCGGTTCTTGGCGAAGAGCCCCGTCCGTTCCGCCAGCAGCTGCTTCGCCATGGCGTAGTCCGCCACGCAGATGTTGGGCGTGCTGCCGAACCAGTACAGGAACACGCGCCCTGCAGCTCGATCATCACGTACGGCGTCAGGCCGGCGGCCAAGAGAAACGATGCATGGTAACTAACTGCTGCCTGTGACGACACTGAGAAGATAATGTGTGGAATGGTGGCACGAGTAGTACGAACCGTAGAGGGGGATCCATTCCCTGAACTGCGGCTGCGCGATGGGCGTGAAGTCGTGGTCGGCGACGTCCAGCCTGAGGCCGGCGCCCGCGGCGCGGAGCCGCCTGATGTCGCCGAGGTTGCCGTGGAAGAAGCGGTAGTGGGGCCCGCGGACGCCCTGCGCCCGGAGGCTCCGGGCCAGCGCGCGCGGCCGCCACACGAGGCGTACCAGCGCGTCGAGCGCCCACGAGGCCACCGCGGCCGCGAGCGCCGCGGACAGCAGCCACCCGTACTCCATATCACCGCCGAACGGGACGACGACGACGGCGCTGGCTGACGCCTCGCTGACGGACGGATTGGATGAGATGGTCTCTCGGGTCCAAGTCAACCGCTAGCTCGGATCGGAGGTTCTTGTGTCATATCGATCCGATAGGTCGGGACCATTTATACTGTACGTAGGAGCAGGACCAGCTGCAAGCTTGGGCTGGTGCGTTCGTGTGGGATTACGCCACGGATGATGGCTCTGACCTCTGAGGGAGTCGTGGGAGAGACACGTACATGGGGGGATCCCAACAACGGCGGTGCGGTGCATGCACGCGATCGACCTACCCGCCTGCTGCCTAGCGCCTACCCCAGCCAAGTCAGACTTGGGTACCGTTTAGTTCCCTCCTAAAATATCAAAATTTTCAAGATTTTTCATCACATCGAATCTTTGGACGTATGCACGAAGCATTAAATATAAATAAAAAATAAAAATAATTACACAGTTTAGACGAAATTCACGAGACGAATCTTTTAAGCCTAATTAGACTATGATTGAATACTAAATGTCAAATAACAACGAAAGTACTACAATACAATTTCGCCAAAAATTTTGCAAACTAAACAAGCCCTTGCTTGCTCCGTGGCTTTACAGGGAAGGCTGTTGCTCCATAAGATTAGATTAAGGGCATGTATGGTTACAAATAAGGTCTGTTCGCGTGTCTTTAAATTTGTCTTGATTTATTTATTTTTTTTATTTGGAATAGTATTTTTCTGTCATAAATTTCTCCATCATTCCTCCAAACTATCCAGATTCCTTCAGAATTCAGACAAACGAACAAGTAAGTCACCTACTTATAAGTTAAAAAGTGAAATAAGTGACTGATTTTGCCAAACACCACCAACTTATAAGTCACCCCTGCTTATAAGAAATAAGCTAGTTCACCCCTGTTTAAAACTTATAAGGCACCCTTTTCCGCGTGGGGCCCACACCTTTTTCGCGTGGGGCACACGCCCAACCCTATCGGCAGCAGCCGCACCACGCGACCCCGCGCCCCTCTCACCCGCAGACCGCCCCTCCCCTGCCTCCCTCCCGTTCTCGCCGCTGCCTCCTCCCTCCCAATCTTGCACGAGCCGCCACCGCCGCAGTCGCTCGTCGCCACCTGGCCGCCACAGCCACCCGCCACCGTTCCCATTTCCCCACCGTTGGCTACTTCTAGATCTCGGCGCCGTGCGCCGCCCCCTGCCACCATGGCCGGCAGCAGTTCGAGGAACTTGCTCAACCTTTTCAATGATTCCCAGGCCAGCGACGAGGAAGACGAGTTCTTCGGTGACGGATCACAGGTCGGGAACTACTCCCCGCCGACTGGATTCGTCCCTCCGCCCCGTCCGAGCACGGCCGGATTCTTCGATTTGTGATTTTGACTTGAGATTCACCTTTATCGTTGCTGGGTGGCCTGGGTCGGTTCATGACATGAGAGTATTCAAGGCAGCACTTGACAAATTTGGAAGCCTCTTCCCACATCCTCCCCAAGGTAAATTTGGATTTTGATAAACATTTCTTTGATCAATTCGATGATTGCCACTTTTCTAACGGTTAACATTAACATTGTAGGGAAGTTTTATGTGGTGGACTTGGATTTCTCTAACCAGCCTGGTTATCTTGCACCGTATAAAGGTACAAAGTACCATTTCCAGGAGTACAACCAAGGTCCACCACCAAGAGGTAAAAAACAAACCTTTAATCATAGACATTCTCAAATTCGCAATGCAATAGAGCGTTCCTTTGGTGTACTGAAGAACAAGTGGAGGATTTTGTTACACATGCCCTCTTATCCACCGTCAAAACAAAGTCAAATTATTTCAGCATGCATGGCTATACATAATTACATTAGAGAGATAGTAAATTGGAGGATAGAGATTTCCAAGAGTGTGATGATGATGAGGAGTTCATTCCTATGGGGGATGAGCCTAGTCGGTATAAAGAGATAACCAGCAGGTGGTGTGACGACATGTCAACTGGACAGCGTGAAATGGGGACAGGAGTTGGTCTGGAGGACAAATTCGTACGTGCAAGTAAGAGCAACAGAGACACTTGACTTTGCTCGATCTCCCGCAGTTTTCTTGTTATATACGCAGGCAGCCAGGCACAATATATCCTCTGCTCAAACGGAACAGGAGCCATGAGAAAAAAGATTAAGAAGCTGTTTTTAAAAACATATCCGTAGACACGTGTTTGATCATTTGGGCGATATTTTGGTTCGGTTTTCTTCGTTTTGCATAAAACTTCAGTTTTTAGAATTTAGTACCCGATTGGTTTGTCACGAAACCGAAAAGTTCGGTGTCGTTTTTTTTTTGGTTTCCAATTAAACCGAGCAAACCGAGGAGAACTACAAGCCTCTGCACCTCGTTGTCTCGCTCGCTGCTCGCACAGGAAGAGGAGCTGGGCTGCCCACCGGCGCACCGCCCTGTAGCAACGCCGAGGCCCAAGGAGCCAAGCCCCCGTTGGCCATCGCCAAGGGTCACGCTCACGCCACCACCTCGCGTCAGCGCAGGTGCGCGCCCACCAGTCGTACGTTACCCTGAGGAGCCGCTCCATCACAGCGCGGCTGCCACCCCCCCGCTCGCCCAGGAAGAGGAGTCGGGCTGCCCACCGGTGCACCGCCCTATAGCAACGCCAAGGCCCAAGGAGCCACGCCCCCGTTGGCCGCCACCAAGCTAGGGTCACGCCACCACCTTGCGTCAGCACAGGTGCGCCCCCACTAGCCGCACGTTACCTCTAAGGAGCGCGGCTGCCCCCTCCCCGCCAGCCGCCCGCTACCTTCGAGGAGCCATGCCGCCCCCACTGGCTGCCCACTGCCTCCGAGGAGCCACGTGCCCGCGCTGCTCCTACCACCTCGCGAACCTGTCATGTGAGGCTAAACCTGTCATTTAGCTCTTGTTGCTTGACTGCCATGTTTGTCACGTTTATTTCTGTGCTCAGAAAAAAAAAACAAAATTGTATAACCATGTTCAGATGACAAATGGTTGAGAACTGTGTGGATCGATAAAATCCGAAGATAATACTGAGTCATTAGGATTTCTTTTTCATGTATCAATGCATCATCTCCAGTCATTGCTAAATTACATTCTTCTTGCACTTGTTTATGGTGGAACACTGCTATATAAATGGCAACATATGAATGTGTGTCTGGAGCTACTTTTCGCACCCACGGAAATGTTTCTAGGCTACATGGTTGAATTGTCCTGCTGAAGTTCTCAAAATAATAATCTATTTTAACTTTCATCTGTGAATGTGTACCAGTAACCGTCTAAAAACTTTTGATAGGTCAGCTGCAGGTAGGTTTATGAATTATGGCCGTTTCTTTTTGCTACCTAACGAGAGGTTCATGCTTTTACTATGCTAATTGCTACTTGATGTTGCTTTATAAAAAAAAAATTCAATGTGTGCATGTAAGCCTAGGGATCCGTGATCCTTAGCTAATACTCCTAGGCTTACAACATTAGCTATGCTGCTAGCTAATACTCAATTCGGCGAAGTAACTGGTTCTTGGAGCCCTTCAACATTATTTAGGCAGAGATCAGGAAACATAGATTACCTATGCTGAGCTTAACCTGGTAGTAGAGTTTGATATGATCTCTGCCGCAGTTTGTTCACAGTATTAGTACGTTGTGCCCATCTCCGTTCCCACAGTCGTCGGCTTAGTTTGGAGCGTCCCTTTGCTGACCACAAACAGTACCAGGTGAGGATTTCTTTTTTTTTCTCTCGAATACACAAAAGATTTACGTATCATTGTAATTAAGGAGAAGAGTTTAACCGTACAAAAGACACACTTCTGATGAGCGTGTTAAGTGGTCTTACAGCTATATTACTAAACCTACCTAGCAGACTGTTAGAACCAGGTGAGGATTTCTTGTATGTTGTTTTGTGAACTTTAGTTTTATATAATAATAAAATTTGGTACAGTTGGGCACTTCAAACATTTTTTTGTGATATTTAGTGACTGAAGGACCGAAGAGACTTCTTCCAGCTCAGATCTTCTATTCTCAAAAACAAGAAAAAGGTATCTATGTTGTTATGGCAAATATATCACCACCAAACAGATGTTTAATCCATTGCTCACTATCTGGCAATTAATGGGTTCAGAGTTTCAGACTTTCAGATATTCAATTCAGTCTTTCAGACATCGTTCAGTCTCTTTGATTAATGGAGCTAATACCTTTCGTACTTAGAAATGAGCTGGGATAGCAGGACATCAGCTGGAGGGCGCTGGAGCAGGAGAAACTGAAGTCTGACATAGTTTTAGCTTCTATTTGGGTGGTGTCATGTTCTCATATCATTGCACGCTTGCTCTTTCTTCGGCAGTTACCTGAGTATCTATGGAGCTGGGAGAAAAGGCTCAAGGTCACAAACTAGCATCCTTTGAAGTCTGTTTTTGCCCAATTATTTTGTTACTAATCTGATATAAGATATCACAGAGCTTAGCTCTTGAATTTTACTATAATCTTGTCAGGACGTGGAGGTGGTTGTTTTGTTGGTGATGATCGCAGTGAAGTGGAGCTTTCTTGCTGTGATGGCAACTTTTTTTACAAGGAAGTAGTTTTTCTATAAGTTGAAATTATTCATGTTTTGTGAAAATTCCTGTAATATTGATGATTAGTTACAAATGGATGCTGTGAAACATGACGCTTAATAGTATAGCACACGTTCATATTCGAATTATTGTGGTATTATTTTTTCTCGTTGCAAGGCGCGAGGTCCAAATTACCTGCCATAAGCCAGTTGTTGCCCACTTGATGACTTCCCTGGAGATCTACACCGTAAATTTTGGCCCATAACTATTCCATCCACCATTAGATGATTAGATCACGTAGCAATTTGTTTGGTTGTGTCAATCGAGAATCGGTAACCAGGGAAAAGGATACGGGCCTTGTGAAAAATTGATACCGCCCACCTGCTGATGTCATCTGATTATTAAGGTATAAAGTAATTTGCTACTCTCCCATCAGTGTGAACGCGCGGCAAGGGCAGGCGCC